TCATTCTTTTTCGTCCGCGTGTGTTTATAAGTATTTTCTATTTCGATGTATAGTTTCACTATTTGTCTATGCGTCTGAAGAAGTTAACAGAACGAAACGTCAAATTATGTTTAAAAATAAAACGGTGTTGATAATTCTTCATTTTATAATTTGATTTCTCTACTTCTGCATACTACTGGCTTATTGTTTTCTTAATTTTTTTGTGACTAAGCGAATGACTAAGGAAATTATCTCGAGTAATTTCACAGCTTGATCATGTTTCCACAGATCTGTATGACATTTCATACTATGAAAAGTTAAACTCACATTCCCTGGTGCAGCATCGAGAACTGTTTTCACTTCACCACAATACAAATTGTTGTAGAAAGAGATTCGATTGGAATCCTTTTTCTTGTCTACGAAATGGATATCAATGAGTTTTTGTGAATCTTCAATCGTGTCAATGGCTTGACCGAGATGATTTTGATAGAGTTGAAGGATGTCCACTTTAAATTGAGTCTACGTGGATAAATCATTGTAGATCAATTCATCTTCATCATTCTCGAGCTGATTTGATCGTTCGACTTGCATGCTGTGAAGTTGAGGCAGAATATATTTACTAAGAATTTCCTGTGCTTTCTCCAGCAAAGATTTCGCTTCGATTTTATACAGTTTTCTCGATTTATCTTCCTGAACGAGGAAATGAGCACGAGTGACTTGTGCGGTGAAAGTAAAGATCGGATCCAGTGCAACAGCTTTGTCTAATCGATCGAGTATATCTTTAGAACTGACTGAACGTTGCTCAGTCCATGGAAGGTGTTCCCATGATGATCGAAAAGTATTGGACCATGTGGCTGTCTTTGATCAGCTTCTCCGCTTCCATCAAATGATAACATGGATTGCGAATGAAATTCTCCTGAGAATAATTCTTCGTCATTTCATTGGCAAAGATTGTAAAACTTTTCTCTAGATCATGATCGATAATCGGTGTGGCTAGTTGTTTGCACAGCTTGTCTTTCTCTTTCTTCAATCGATCAAGGAAATTCTTCAAATGTCCGAAAAGCTCTTGTCTTGGAGATTTCGATTCACAGTAGAATAATGAACGGCCTCGTAGAGAGAAATAATACAAATCGACTTCGTAACCGAGAACACAATTTTGATTCGGATTTTCTCTTTCGTAAACATGTGGAACATGAGAATCTGTTCGATAAATGATCAACGTGACGTTCAACGCCTCAGCTGCAGCTTTATGACGTTCCTCTTCACCGATTTGAGGATACAAATCAGCATGATCAATCAAATGTTGGATCAGTTCGTTTTTCACTTCATCGGATGTCTTATTTCCTCGCAATTGTTTCGATAGAGAATGAAAGAAACTATCACCATCTTGAGGCACATCATCACAAATGAAGCCTTGTTCTTCTAAGAAAAGACGAAAACATCGTCGACTTTGCCTCTTATTATCCATTGATTTCAACCAGAGAGCCCATTGTTCTTTCAAAGATAACAATCGATAGACATTGTCATTTTCTTTTCGCAATCGATCTAATAGTTGACAAAATTGTCGAAATAAACGATCTTTCAGCTGAGTCTCATTGATCTCTTCTGTCCACATTCGATTGAGATGAATTTGTTCCGCTTGTTGACGCCAATGACAAATTCTATCCATCGATTCGCTGATTAGTTCTGTTGTCTTGCAATATTCCGGATGAATGTTGATCAATTGTCGAAATGTTCGTGAAGAACTGAGAATGATCTGTGATGTACCTCATTGACCTTGACGCGACGTTCGACCAAAGGCTTGTTCTTCCACACGAACATTATTAGGTAAATAAGTCAAACAAACATGTAAACCTCCGTTCGTCTCGACACTGGGACTGGTTTTCAGATCCGTGCCACGACCAGCGAGATTGGTAGCAACAATGATATCTCCTGCTTCAATTCGATTTTCCACCACATTCGATTCGACGGCATTGGTGTTGTCCGTGTACAAACGAACAAAGAGTGTTGGATCAGCTCGTTGAATCTGTTTGCTGATGGTTTTCGCATCGAGACGAGTTTCACAAATGATCAGAACAGCGCGTTGCTTTTGAGCATTGCTCAATGTTTCCGAGACAATCGTTGTTAACCATTGATCATCATCAGCTGTGATGATTGCTTTCAGTTGGACATGTCGTTTCTCCTTGAATGAAGGAATGATGATCGTGTCAACCTGATAGATTCGATGGAGAAGTTCTCGTGTTTCTTTCGATCCGATGGTTCCTGTCAGTCCGAAGATATTCTTACCATAACGCATAAAAAGTCCGAGATTGGAAAGATAGTTGCTGGTCACAGACAATGGTGTCATTTTCAATCCATGTTTGATTTGTAGAAATTGATGAAGACCATCACTCCATGTCGTGCTGGGTTGAACAACACCGGTGTTGGAGAAGTCGATGGACATGATTCGTTTTGTTCGTGTCTGATCGGATTTGATCATGTAATGATGATCGAGCCGATACTCCGCTCGAGCTAAGATAGCATGATCAATCCAGATCGGTATGGATTCGTTCACAAATTCTTTCAGATGTTCGGGAATTTTCAGATCCGATTGGGGATCACCGAGAAGTTTTCTCATCTGGTCAACAATTACATCTCGTTTGGAATAAAGATCATCTTGTGCTTCAATACAACGCCAAATACCGAAGAGTATTGGATTGAGCCATTCCATTCCCGGCAATTGATCAGCAAGACGAGCCAGAGTATTGTTTTCATCGATCAACATGCTATCTACTTCGTCAATGATCGATCACTGCATCAAATCGACGTGTTACATCTCGATCTTTACCCAATGTTCTAGAAGACATTTCTCATTACAAACAATGGAAAAGAAAGAGTTTTATCTGGTAACTACAAAAAGCGGTTGTAAAATATTTAAATCTAGTTTTAATTAAGTCGAGTTTTATATCTATATAGTTTTACCTGGTATTCAGCAGACTGAACTCATGACGAAGAAGATCAAACTGAAATTGACTCGAATTACCGTAGACAATCTCTGCTCGATAGCATTGTTTTGGTCCTGAAGTGTAACTGCTCTCGTCGTTGTTATGTGCCACACTGACATTGAAATAATCATAGAAACCTTTCCGTTCTAGAGCATCACGTTTGGCCAAAGTGATCGAACTGGTGATGATATCGACATGTTGATTTTGTAAAGCTTTGATCACTGCTAACATTGAGACGATGGTCGATTTACCTTCACCTGTCAATACTTGTAACAATCGTCCATGCTGATCTTTGGTTTCCAGTAGAATGAGAATCGATACGATTTGTATTGGACGAGGTTCAAATTTCGAATCGAGAAACACAGCACGTTTGATCACCGCGATCATTTCCTCGATGGACACTTCTCTTGACGATTGTCGCAGATGTTTTGCCCACGACTAAATGTTTGATTTGGACCAGGATTGAATTGTTTTCATTTCGGAAATCACCGATGAATTTGCTTGATATTTCCTTTCGATCATTTGATATTTTCGCAGAAGATCATTCATGTTGATTTGTGGATTGATATCCTTTAATTTTGCTAGCAAGGCTGGTAGATTTTTCTACGAACTGACTGAACCCAAACGATGTTCAATCACTCGATTGTAAATCAACGATGGACATAAATGAAGCTGAGTGTGTTCGAGAAGTGCTTCCAAATGAGATGTAGAGAAAGTCGGCTCGACCTCGTAATCGACAAGAATCTTCAGAAGATCGATCAAATCACGTATTCTTTCGCAGAATATCAAATCGGTATTCTGCCTGTCATCACTTGCTGTTCAACCAAATATGATAGTATTATCCATTTCAAAAAAGAAAAAGGATGGCTATTTCTAGAATAACTTTTGATTAGTATGCGATGAACACAAACGGTTGGTACCGTTAGAAAGCTCAGAGCTTCTGCTGTCCAATCGTATACTTGGTCGATTTTCGTGTTTTTCCATAGGTGTTTCCGTTCTCACTTTTCATTGCGAAGTCACTAAATGGGGTCAAGAAAGCGTGGAATCGAATTTTGACATCACCGTTAGATTTGTCATGAAAAGATCTTCAAAATGAGTGGTCACCCGAATTTTTCACACCGACCTTTTCTATACCCACAGGGGCCCCAGGGGGCAGGATAATGAGAAAAAACGGAAAATTTTTTTTTCAATCGGGATGAATTTTTTCTGTAGGTTTTCGACTATCGTTCGATGTGTCTTGGAAAGCCCTACAATATCTGTTAATAGGACACTTAACGAAGCTTGGCAGCGGCCGTTATGAATCAAATACTAGATTTTTTCACAGATCGCCGCTATGCTACTCGAACCTACCATCACCTTTCTCTATGAAACTAAAGAGGATCTCTAATCATTCATACATCATTCGATGCGCCTTGCAAGTCTCTGCAAGATATGTTAATAGGAAACTTAACGAAGCCTGGCAGCCGTGCTTGGGTATTAAATACTGCGCCGCTTTAACCTCGAATGGCTCCAAAAATTGCTCGCCACCTTTATTTTGGATTTTTCTCGTGGACCATACAAACTAGAACAAATTTGAAAAAAGATTTAAACAGCTGATAGGATTCGGAATTTGCTGTGCTGTTTAAGCGGGTTCTATCATAGCTCTTTAAACCAGGGTCTCCGGAAAACCAAAATCTCAGAAAACCAACTGCAAAAGCTCCATTGTATACAGCAAAGATTTCTGAAGAAAATGAGACGTCTTCGAGCTCTTTACAGCACGTTTTAGTGAATCGGCATTCAATGTACGGAAGGCGCTACGCTTGTTTTCCCGTTAGTTTTGCTGGTATGGTTATCTTCATCCATCATACAAAACTAAATGTGATACAAAACTTTTCAGCTACAATTACCGATGACGATGACGAATTTGACAGTAATTTTTTCTTAAGAAGAACCTAAACTTGCCAAATCTTGCAATCCGGAAAATATATTTTTCTATTTTTGTCTCACTATTTCTCATAAAGTAATAAATATCTAGTTACGCATTCAAAATTCTAGTCACTCGTCTTCCAAATCGAGATTCTGCTAGAACGTCTGAGTTGATAGAACTAAAAGTTTAAACTGGAAAAATTCGAATAATGAAATTTTTGTTAAATTTTAAAAATATTTTTTCGAATAATCTAAAAGGAGTGCAAGGCATAAAAGATATATCACTTTTGATGATATATACTTTCATCAAAAGTGGAACAACTTATACGAGTAAAACCAATAATTAATCTTTTTGCATATCAGCCAGTATTTTCATAAATAAATCTGATTTCACCGTCTGCCAGTCATCACTAAGCAAACCGAATGATTCACGGAATTCTGACGTACCATCCCGAATGTAATAGCTTCCCGCTAGTACCCAATAGGCCCATGAAATTTTTTTGTTTTGTACATATTGACTAACACAATTGATGTAATTATCACCTACAAAATTATCTACATTTGTTCCGAATTCGGTTAGCCATATCGGCGCAGTATATTTTTCATTTTCTGTCGTGATATAACCCCAAGC